TGGATCTCTGTGAGTTCAAGGCCAGCCTGGTCTACATAGTGAGTTCCAGGACAGCTGGGGCTACAGGGAGACCCTGCTTCAAAAAGACAAAAAAATAAAAAATAAAAATAAAAAAATACAGTTTACTGGGCTGGAGAGTTATCTCAGTAGTTAAGAACACTGCTGCTCTCACAGAAGACCTAAGTTTGATTCCCAGCACCCACAAGGTGGCTAACAACCATCCTAACTCCAGTTCCAGGGTTTTTGACACCCTCTTCTGACTTCCAAGGGCATTGCATAGTACAGGTGCACTTACACACATGCAGGCAATACACTCATACACATAAAATTACACACCAAAAAATACAGTTTACGAGCCCCCCACCCCAGAGGACAGTTGATGGCTTTTCCAGGAGGGAAAGTTGGCTTTTTTTAAGATGTGCCCCTGGTAGGTTAACCACACTCCAGTGGATGGCCACACACACATGAGTATAGAAGCAGCACAAATTGGAACTGGACTGGGTGAATTTATTATTACAATTTTTTTTTATAAAAAAGACACTAGAGCTGGGTGTGGTGGCACATGCCTTTAATCCCAGGACTTGGGAGGCAGAGGCAGATCTCTGTGAGTTCAAGGCCAGCCTGGTCTACATAGTGAGTTCCAGGCCAGCTGGGGCTACAAGGAGACCCTGTCTCAAAAAGACCAAAAAAAAAAAAAAAGACATTAGATTGGGAGGGGATGTGAAGGTAGTGGATCTTGGAGGAGTGGGGAATGAATATGATCAAAATACATTGTATTAAATTATTTAAAAATTAATAAATTATTTCATTAAAAAATACTGTTACCCCAGAGTAAAATCTTGAAATCTTAAAAATGAACATGATATTAATACTTAATATAAAACCGGTTCAGTGGTTAAGAGCACTGGCTGCTCTTCCAGAGGACACAGGTTTTGTTCCCAGCACTCACATGGTGGTTAAATCCTCTGTAACTCCAATTCCAGAGTATCCAGGGACCTCCATGGGCACCGTACTCACATGGTACACTTATGTACATGTAGGCAAAACACTCATACACGTAAAATAATTTTTAAAAATTAAAATAAGGGGCTGGAGAGATGGGTTAGTGGTTAAGAGCACTGACTGCTCTTGCAGAAGACCTGGGTTCAATTCCCAGCACCCACATGGCAGCTACGAACCGTCCTTAACTCCAGTTCCAGGGGAATCCGAAGCCCTCTTCTGACCTCCGCCATATTGCACGACATGGGTGCACTCACATACATGCAGGCAATACATTCATACACATAAAGTAATAAAAATAAATAAAATATTTGAAAAAATAAAAATAAATTTTAAAATAAATAAATAGAAATTAAAATAAAATCCTCCCAAGGCCTTCATATATATGTAGGGCTGGGGGTGATCTCTGTAACAAACGTTTGTCTACTGAAGCGAGTAGGACTAGACATGGTGAAAGTACAAACAAGGACAACGGTGTCTACCCTCAGAGAAAGTTTCCAGAAGCCAAATTCATCCTGGAGAAGATCGTTCCTGAACTGAAGGCTAAATAACGTGCCCCCTAACAAAAGGTAAGAGAAAAGGCAGATCAAGCACCAGGAACATGTGCAGTGCCTGTCCTTCTCAGGGTTTCTTATCTTAAACAAGCTTAAGACCTAAAGATCAGGTTTATAAACACAGAGCAGTATGTAAGTGAACAGGAAACTCAGATTCCAGTGATTGGGAAACAGCACTGTATAAAGGTGACACTGACAGAATGAAGGCACCAATTTCTTTTCTAGACTCATTTCTATTCCCATGGCTGGAAGATGTCAATATCTGACTTTCCCTTTTGTTCCTATAGTCCTAGACCCAAGTGGGTTTCTTCTTTCCATCCTTAATTCCTCAAAATCTACTCTCCCCACCATTCTGTAACAGGTTGTCCTGGAAGCTCATAGAGCTGTGATCCTAAGAAGAGCAGCCTTGGTAGAAAGATCAATGGAAGATCATTATATCAAGACCACATTTCTAGCTGGATATGGGGGTACAGGCCTCTAATCCCAGCACTGGGGTGGGATGAGAATGGGAAGGACAAAGGCATAAAGATCAGAAGTTGAAGGCTATCCTTTGTTACATAGGAAGTTTAAAGCCAAGTTGGGCTACATGAGATGAGACCCTGCTTCAAAAAGCAAAACACACACACACACACAAACACACACACACACACACACGCACGCACGCACGCACGCGCACACACACAAAGAATGAAGTTCAGAGCCAGGCATGTGGCATGTGTCCATAGTCCTGGCACTAGGAAGTCTGAGGGGATCATGAGACCAAAGCCAGTCTGGACTACACAGTAAAGACCTATCTTGGAAAACAACAACAACAACAACAACAACAAAAAACATGGGGATATAGCTCACTAGAGCACTTGCCTAGCATGTGCAAGGCCCTAAGTTTCATCCTCAGCACTGCAAGAAAGCAAACAAGAAAAAGAAGCAGATGAGAGAGGGCTCATCCAGTAAAGGTGCTTGCCATGCAAGCCTGGGTGGAGAGAACTGACTCCACAAAGTTGTCTTCTAATCTCCACACACATGCCATGGCACATGAACCCTCATGCATCATGCATTCTCATACACAATAATAAATTAATTAAATAATTTCAAAAACGTGTCTGATTTAAAAAAACAAAAAACAAAAAACAAGAGTGAAACTCAGCCAGGTCTTTTTTGCTATTGTTTTTGTTTAAGATTTGCTCTTGCCCAGACTGGCCCGGAACTCCAGATCTTCATGTCTCCACCTCCCTGGGATTATAGGCTCACAAGTAGGTGACCTTGCCAAGTTCCTCAGCCAGGTTTTAAAGAATTAATTTACATTCAGGGCACCATTTGTTAAATGGATTTCTTCAGAATCACCTATGGGGTCAGCAAATATACAGATAGTGAGAGTCAGAGATGATAGAGGGATGTGATCGATAGAAAAAAGATGGATAGATAGAAATAGAGATGATAAATAAATGATAGGTAAGTAGATGATAGAAGATAGAAGGAGGAGGAGGAAGAGGAAGATAGATGATTGATAGATAGATAGATGATAGATAGGTGATAGATGATGATAGATAGATAGATAGATAGATAGAAGATAGGCAGATAGATGATTGATAGATAGATAGATAGATAGATAGATAGATAGATAGATAGATAGATAGATAGATAGATAGATAGATAAAGGGTAAGAGTGATAGATAAGGGTAAGAGTGGGGGAGGCAACACTGTCCCATAATCAGAACTGGGTGTTCATGGAGGTGTTGAGGGTAAGAAAAAGGCAGAACATTCTCATTAGAAGACAAAGAAACTCTCAAAGGACCCAGGTAATTGCTGTGATCCTCAAGGTGTGCCAACCCTACTCTATTTCTCTATTCTAGTTCCCAAGGACTCAGAAATAACTGAGTGCTGACTGCAGTTCCTTCTCAGGAGACTATGAACCATCAAATCAAAGTCACACTTGATATTAGGTGCAGGCAGAGCACTACTCCACACCTGCTGCAGGATCTGCAGAACTCTAGCCCTTGACCTTCATAGCTATCACAGAAAGCAAGGCAGCATAATTTGCACCACAGGTACAAAGTACACTTCTTGATATTTTTTCACTATTCAACCACAGGCATCCACAGGAAAGTACAAAAGTTAATTCTAGTCCTGTGAGAGAGAAAATAGCAACATCCTGGCACCTTCCTCCAAAAGGTTCTAAAGGAAAAAGCCTGAACTTGGACTTAATCTCCAGACAGGACTAAAAAATAATGAAGGAGGACTAGAGAGATGGCTCAGCAGTTAAGAAAGGGCAATGGCTGCTCTAGCAAAGGACCTGGGTTCTATTCCCAGCACCCACATGGCAGTCTGTAACTACAATTCTGTAACTGGAGTTGTCTGTAACAACAGTCTGTAACTCCAGTTCCAGGGAATCCGATGCCCTCTTCTGACCTCCCCAGCACTGCATGACACCAGTACACTTACACACATGCAGGGAATACAGTCATACACATAAAATATTTTTTAAATGATGATTGAGAGAGCATCAGGTGGGCTAACACCTCCAAAGCAAAAACTAGGGTATGAAGCTACCCCTCAAATACCCAGAAGTAGCTTATTGATAGAACTGTAGACAGCTATCCAATGGAAAGTACACATAAACAGGTCCTCCTTGTTGAAAAATGGCAGTAAAGGGAAAAGGGGGGCGTGAGAACAGAAATAAGTGTGGGTGAATTTAAGCTGTTAAAGTGGCACAGCCTTGCAACCCGGGACACAGCCGTCTGGAGTTAGGAATGTCAGGTGTCTTCCCCTGCAAGGGTTCTGCCTCCAGCGACTTCTTGGCCCACCAAAAAGTGTCTGGCAGGCAGCTGTGCCCAGGGGCGGGCATCCCCTAGACCAATCTCCATCAATTACTAATATCTTGCGAAAATCGTTTGTCTCCCTTTTCTCATTTGTAAAATGGAAAATAAAGGCACAATTTTCAAGACAGGTGTGTGGCACACACCTGTAATCTCAAGTGCTTAGACGGTGAAAGCAGGAATATCGGGAGTTCAAGGACAGCCTTAGCTACCTAGAGAGTTTGTGGTTAGCCTAGGCTTCATGAAACCCTGCCCCCCCCCCCAAATTAGAAGACAGTTCTCACTGGATCATTGCCAGAATTCGGTTAGTACTTAATACCAGACACCTCTGCACGACCCTGATCCACTCAACAGATTCAGCAAACTGAATGAATCACAGTCCAGGCTGCGTTGTCAGATTTGGAAACCCCCGGGTGACCCCGCGTTAAGCTTAGTGAACACCCTCTTTCTACACTTCTTCAGCCTGCCAAGTCACGCGTCTCCTGCCCAGCCAGCTCCGAGGGTGCAAGAGAGAAGCGCCCTGGAGGACGGGAGGGACAGCCTGATGCCCACCCCGAGGACCGCAGCACGCCGGCCCCCAGCCCGACGCCTGTGTCCCCGGCGCTCCCCGGGCGCGGCGCTAAGGAGACGGTACCTGCCAACGATCACCACCCCGCCTGCTGGGGACGCCATGGCCGAGTCAGGCCTGGGCCGCTGTGAGCACAAGGAGAGGGTGCACCGACACTTGGCCGCAGACCACTGCTTGGCGGTGGGCTTGCCCGCGCCTCGCAAGGCCGCGCCCATTGGCTGAGACGTGAAGGGAGGGCGGGGCCAAGACGCAGGAGGGGCTGGGCGAACGGTCTGTCCCTGGAGCCCTAGCGCTGGGCCCAGAACTGGCCTGGGACTAACGCGTGGGAACGTGGAAGGAAAGACAGAAGCCAAGATAATTCTGAGTTGGGCAATTTTATTTTTCAGTTTCTATCAGGGCACCGTTAATGAGTGTAGCCAGGAGGGGACACTGCCAGACTGCCACAAGCAGCACCCCAAAGACACTTAAACGAGAAAATTATTTTAAAGACGTTAGCACAAGGTTAAGACTTTAAGTATGTTTGTTTCACTGTTAACACTGGAGTTTATAATGGAGATTGGTGTCTGGTGAGATACCTGCCGCCTTGCTTCACTAATGAGGACTGAGGTCTGGGGACTTTGGGGCAATCAAAAACGGAAGCTCCAGATGTGTCATATTGAGAAACGGAAGGACAAGTTTGAATTCCTTGTAGTGTGCCATCGCCACTGTGGCTCCTCCTTCCAGAGAAATACAAACCTTGTAAGAAAAAGGAAAAGTCAAGTCAAGGCTTGGAGGCACATACCTGCTCTCCCAGCACCTGGGAGGCTGAGGGAGGAGTTCAGGCTCATCTTGGTTTACATAAAATAAGACTCTGTTGCAAAAAAAGAAAGGAAAAGCTGAGCGTGGTGGTGTATGCCTTTAATCCCATTCAGTACTCAGGAGACAGAGACAGGGGAATCTCTGTGAGACATAGTGCTATGACTTCCAGGCCAGCTGGGGCTACAAAGAGACCCTGTCTCAAAAAAAGGAAAAAAGAATGTTTAGGGCCCTGACTCCTGGCCCTCTGGAGCTAGGGACAAAGAGACCAAGAGAATCACACTACAACAAAAAAAAAGTTTTAAAACAGATTCAGGAGAATAGAGCAGTTCCTTTGTTTTCCCCCTTGTTGGGAATATGGAAAGAGAAACCTCTGGAGAGGGATTAAGTTTTAAAGAAGAATTTCACAAATTATCAATAAGCATTTAAGCTCAGTCTCATTTAAGTGAAATGAAAACCAAGGAAAGGAAGATAAGTCTCATTCACCCATCAAACTGACCAAATTACTTGGATTGATAAATTGTCCCATATTTGCAATGGATTTTTTCAGATATACAGCTCTTTCTTAGAAAACTGAAGGCAGGTTTAAACTGGCTCAGCCTTTCTGGAGGGAAGGGTCACAGTACCTGGTGGGGAGAGCATCTGCCATTGTCTAGACTTCAAAGCTTCCATCTCCCCAGGATGAAACTAGACACATAGCATAGCGAAATAGGTCAAGACACCAAAATGAGGCCCCTTGTCCAGCTCACTACTCTGGAGGGTGCCCACTACAAAGTTTATTGTTTGCTAAAAAAGTTCTAGGCCTTTCTCCATTGCAAATGCAGGCCTTTCTTGTGGAACCCTGTGGGACTGGGGCTTCAAAAAGCCTTGTAAAAAGCTGTGTACACTAATACTCACCTCTAATCCCATCTACTCAGGTTCAGAAGTTTAAGGCCAGCCCAGAAAACTTGGCAAGCTCCTCTTCCTAATTAATTAATTGGAAATAAAATAATTTTTTTGGAAACCCTGGCAAATACCAAAACATTGGCTTACTTTAACTGTGAGTCATAAGATAATTTATCTCTTATGGATTTCATCAACAAACATATGCCAAATAAGTTAACTAGCAACTGTGTGAAAATCTCAGACTGCTCATGGTTAATAACTCTCAAAAATATAAGTACTTTTAAAAAGCCATGCTGGGGATCAAACCCATCCATGGCTTTGTTCATGTAAGGCCAATGCTCTACCACTGAGCTACACCCCAACTTGTATGAATCTTTTGGCTTAACAATTCTAATTCTAGAATCCTTTTTATGTAAATTTCATAAGCATACAGGAAGATAAAAATTGTTTATTTCAGCATGGTTTTAATTTTTTTACTTATTTGTATTTATGTGTGTGCATGTTTTGCCTGTATTATGTAAGTGCACCATGTGCATGCAATGCCCACAGAGGCCAGAAGAGGACACTGGATCCTCTGGAGCTGTAGTTACAGGTGGTTATTAGTTGCCATGTGGGTGCTGGGAACTGAACCCAGGTCCTCTGCAAGAGCAGCCAATGCTCTTAACTGTTGAGTAATCTTCCCAGTCCTTCAGCAGTTTTTAATGAATATCTACAGGTAAAAATAGATTTAAAGGGGCTGGAGCCATTTAAATGGCTCAGCAGTTAAGAACACTGACTGCTCTTGCAGAGGACCTGGGTTTGAATCTCAACACCCACATAGTGGCTAATAACCATAACTCCAGTTCCAGGGGATCAGAGGCCCTCTTCTGACCTCCATGGGTATTGTATGACACAGGTGCACTTTTGTGCATGCAGGAAATACACTTATACATAATAAAATATTTTTAAATGGATATAAAGATTATAATATTTTCAGAGAACATTGGCTTCTGTTGAAGATAAGGAAACCGGGATGAAGTTTAAACCTCTAAATGCCTTCCAACACAACTCAAAGAATAGAGAATGCAATGGCCTTAGACACTAAACAAGTCAGTCTTGGTGGCTGGCGCTGTAGCTCAATTGGTAGTGTTTTCCTAGAGTGTACAAAGTTCTGGGTTTGATCCCTGGCTCCATATAAACTGGGTGTGGTGGCACCTGCCTATAATCTCAGCACTTGAGAGGTAGAGGCAGGAAGATCAGAAACTCAAGGTCATTTTCAACTACACATTGAATTGGAGACCATACCAGATTACAAGAGCAAAAAAAGAGAGACAGAGACTAATGGGAAGTGATTGGGTCATTGGGAGCATAATCCTCAGATTATGTAACTCTTGGGAGATCTTAGTTAGTTCTCACAAGAACAAGTTATTATAAATCCAGGCCACCTCACACACGTGGTCCTTCTCCATGCAACTGTTTCCATTCTTCTCTAGCCACATGCATCCCATGAAGGGGGTCACTGGGAGTAAGAGAGGGAAGAGAGAAGGTAATGGGAGGAGGTGAATATGATCATAGTGCATTGTACACATGCATGAAACTGACAAAACAAGCCAAAAAGATAAGGTCACCAAATCTTGAACTTCCACCCTCCCAAACTGTGAGTTAATAAGCATTTTCTCCATAAAGCCCAAGTTCAGATTTCTGTTACAGCAATAGAAAACTGTAATATAGGGAGGCTACTGTATTTTATCTTCGTCTCCTGTTCCTAACCAGAGCTCCTAAAAGCCTTGATGTATCCTGGGTGACAAGAGCTTTAAAAATGAAAGGCACAGGGCTGGAAAGATGGTTCAGCATTTAGGAGCTCTTGTTGCTCTTCCAGAGGATGCAAATTCAATTCCTAGCAACCACGTCAGGTGGCAGCTCCTCTGAACTGAACCCAGCACCTCTGGAATCCAATGCCACTGGTCTCCTCAGGCACACACACACACACACACACACACACACACACACACACACACTTAAAATTAAAAATAAAATCTTCATCCTCCCTCCCAAAAAGATGAAAGGAGCATCTTATGTTATTCAGAATGCGCCCTTTTCGTCTACACCTGAATTTATGTTAGTGACTTGGGAAGGCTCCTAAGGATGGGGGCTTGTTGCCAAGAGAATCAACTATATGGTTAGAGAGAAAGGACTTTAACCTCACCCTCTCATCTCCTAGAGAAAAAGAGATTCATTTAACCATCAATGGTCAATAATGTAATGAGTCAAGCCTGCACAATGAAGCTGTCATAAAACCTGAAAGGATGGGATTCAGCCAGTTTCCCAGTGGTAAACAAGAATGCATCCATTGAGTGAGATAACCCAGCCCCAGAAAGATAAATGCTCTGTGTTCTCTCTCATATGCAGATCCTAGCTTTGAAATTTCAGATTCCTATTTTTAAGTAAAAGTGAGTGTCTCTAAGGGCCAGGAAGCAAGGAAGGAACCATAGGCTGCATGGGGAGGGAGGCTTATGAGGGATAATAAAACACAAGTGGCATGAAAGTAGATAGGGGGAAAGGTGGGCCTTGGAAAGAGTTAACCAAAACTCAGGATGTATGGAAATGTCATATAGAAACCTACTACTCTATAAGCTAACTAAAAAACACAGTATTATAGGTATATAATACTCCTCCCAGAAATCATAGATTTTTACATAGAAGTCCCAGTGCTAGGTACAGGATACCTACCTATGAGTTGTTGGCCAGGGAGCTCCCAGTGGCTCCCAAAACAATAGAAGCTATTGCCATTGCTTTTGGTTACTCACCAGAACTAGATAGCCAAACCTAGGCCAAATTTCTCCAATTTCTTCTTGCTGAAGACTCACATGGGAACAGGACACAGAGAAATCAAGCTGGTGCCAAGATGGAAGCTTCTTCCCTGTTGGCTAGCATTCTACCATGTCAGAAGATGCTATAACAGGCTGCTGGGGGAGAAAATCCACCAATGGCCTTATGCAGCTCTGGACCCTGCCATTCTAAACCACTGACCTGTCACATAAGTTGTGCCCACTGAAGCAATAGCAGTATGATTGTTTGGGGGGTAAGAAACCACTTTCTAATTGGATTTGAAGCCCCCTCTACAGGAGGGAATATATTCCTGATTCTATAAATCTGGTCAAGAGCTTATGGCTGGGGAGGTCACAGGCCCTAGGGGGGGCGAATTTACTAGTGATGCACACAGTGTTGACAGATGCATGTGTTGCATAGGACTGTCCTCCAATTGGCAAGCTATAAACAGAGCCTTCTTCCCAAGCTTGTTCGCACTTCTTGCCTAGGATCATCACAAACTTGTTGACTGTTGACCTTCCACAAGAAAGGAGGAGCAGGGAGAGTCAGCCAGCCCTCTCAACCAACCAGTGGGCCCTAACTGCATGAGAGGGAGGAACTAAAGGTATATAAGTGAATAAAGCAGCAGGGAAGGACTCTCACCATTTTGTGAGGCTGTGGGGTGGTCATACACCTGGATGAAGACTATACTGTGCAGCCTTAGGAGGGGAGCACCCACATTCCTGTGAGTAAACCCTTACCC